ATTCACGGCCTTCGATATAGTGTTGGAAATGCCGTACAGCACAATACATAGCTAGGAGTTCCCTACCGAATGTGCTGTACCTCGATTCGGTGTCTAGCAACCTTCTAGAGAAAAATGCCAAGGGTTGCCAGGAGTTGTTAACCCATTGTTGTAAGACTCCTCCGATTGCCGAGTCGGATGCGTCTACTGCGATGCTAATGGGTGCTCGGGTGTCCTGATGTGCGAGCATTGTTGCTTTAGCAATCAGTTCCTTAACTGTGGAGAATGCTTTTCGTGCGGTGTCGTCCAAATTAATGGATTTCGCATTTCCACGAAGTTGGTCGGTCAGAGGTTTCATAAGTAATGCGCATTTCGGTATGAAACGTCTATAGAAACTTACCAGGCCGTTAAACGTGCGTAATTGCTTAACGGTGGTCGGTTCTGGGTAATCCAGAATGGCTGCCACTTGTGTTCTAAGGGGTTGGATGACTTGGGCATCGATAGTAAGTCCCAGGAAGTCTAAGGAGCCAGTTCCGATTCGGTATTTCTGAATGTTTACAGTGATGAGATGTTTTCGTAGTCGTTCGGAAACAAGATCCAGATGCTGGAGACGCGATTCTCTGTCCGGACGTTAAGGTAAACGTACCTTTTCCCATACGTAGCCATAAGCTTTTCGTTGTCGCCTGAAGATTTAAAACCGATTCGTGAAGCCGGTCGTTAGAATTCGTTGGAAGAACGCTAACTTCTGCGCCAGTATCGACGAGGTAGCGAACTTTCGTCATCACAACTGTGACGTATAACAGACGGCTGTGTTTGCCGGCTACAGTTGTCGTACACGTGTGCCGGCCTGGAAGTTTCCCGAATTATTTTTTTGTCGGTTGATTTTGAGTTTGGAAAAGTGCAGGGTTTTTGCAATTCATGGATGATTTGCAATACCGGTTATGATACTAGCACCAGTCGGGATAATCAGTCTCCCGTGGTCTAGAGACAGATCGCCTACATGAAGTGCTTCTTCGCGTGGTGTGTGCCCGTTTACGGTCATTACGAAATTTAAGATGACGTGTAGGTGTTTGACGTAATTCTGTTGTGTCATTCTGGGTCATTTGAGGCTTTTCTTTGACAGAAAAAACCTCGGAATTAGAAGATTTCGTGATTTTTAAGATGCTGTCAGCAGATGCAAGCAGCTCGTCTTCGGCGTTGTTTTGACATGAGACCAGGACAGCTTGCACTTGTTGAGGAAGTTTAGATAAGAAAATTTGTTTGGATAAGCCATCATCGAAGGTTCTTTGGCCGATAACTTCTCTCGTCCTTTGCAACATGTCTGCCGCAAAACCGTGTTACAGGTCGATGTTATTGAGGAGTTGGTCTAACCTTTGTCTATCGGTTAGATTTCCGTGTTTAAGAATAGGTCGTGCAAGTGTTTCGTGGGGTTCCGAAACACCACTAGTAAACATGCTAGGTGTTACGTACGTGTTGAATTCACGCGGTAGTGCCTTGATTACTGCCAGGAATTGTGCACGTGTGTCATTCACGTCGTACTCGTGGAAGTCGGCTTCTGCGTAGCAAAGCCAGGCTTCAATGTTGTCTGGCCAGAGGGGCATTAGTTGCAACGAAGGTGGGGACATAGTCTTTAACTTAAGTACCTTGGATGTCCGTTCCGTCATGGTGAAATATCAAGTACAGTTTGCAATTTGTTGTACCAGGTCACGTCGGGCTCACAAATGAAGATGCCACTGGTATTCGGGGTTCGACAACGATATAACCAGTAACACCTTCTAGTATGAAACGTACCCACCAAGTGAAATCAAAAGACAGAAGTGAAGACGTTCGAAGATATATTTGACAGGCTATCAATATATCGGGAATCGTCTGATCTAATCTGGCTAGCGATTGCAGTAGATGTTGAGTACGGCGTTTCCACTCGTGATATGGTGCGGATGCATGACCGAGCGCCTTCAGCTAGGTGATTCCATTAAAACCAATGTGGTCAGCATCCAATGTCGAAAACTTACAGAGCTATTTATTTTGTGGATTTATTTACCGCCACATGATGATTGTTTAGTTGTGTCGTACATTTGATTATTAACTAGTCGCAATAAACCTCATTTAAACATTGATACTATCATTTTATATAAATTTTGATTCACCTTAAAAATAGGCTACGTTTGGTCGTACTTCGCTTTCAAGGATATATTGCCTTTCGAATACAAAACAAAGTCATAGAAACTTCTGTGCGACATTTCGAATTCTGGATAACATAACGCGTCACGTATTACGAGTCACTCACTACTGAAATCCAGTTCTGGTTACCAAACTGCTTAAATTCCACTACTATATCAGTGTTCAGTGTTGTTAACTTCCTTTTATAATTTAAGTGAATTTTATGTACGTTCTGAGTTGTCGGTTTACCTGCTCTCCTGTTCTATTCTCCTACTGATTTTATCATCCTGGTCTTCTTACCTCGAACACAAGACTTATCTTTATGCAAGAACTTATCTTAATAAGGTCTAACTGTTACAATGTATTTGCTTATTTACATGTCATTGATGATTTATTAGTCACTGGAGTAATTTATTTGACACCAACAACCATTTATATTACTCGTTCGAAACATGTTAGGTACGTGTTTATTCTGTAGACTGCGGAACTAGCTGATGATAAAGAGACTAATAAATGAACCTAAGAGCCATTCAAAAAGTTATTTGATTACTTAGTCGAATGATCATTCGACTGGTCGGTGATGACTGTTTGAGTCGACTCAAATAATCATCAGCGATTCCGCAAGAATTAGCTAACGTAAGTTGCTTTCAACCAATTTTCAAACTCTGAGTTGTAAAAAACCCGATTCTTTCTAGCTTTTGTAGTTTTCACCAAACTGTTAATTTAGTTCGTTCTACTTTGCCGTTTTTACTATGTGGTCCCATATTTTTGCACGTCTGACCCCTATTGAACGCGTTTGACCTTATGTTCTGGTTTGGTTCTATACTAAATTTTGTGTCCGATGAGTCAATCTTCATTTTATCCTTTAAGTGGCTTTGATTTTCATTGACTACTACCATTTCATTCATGCTACATATTACCTGGGGAGGCGGCGCGTGTTGATCACATTATGTCATATCAATTAATTAAAGTATCGTGATGCATTTACGGTGGAATGGATATGAAAATTGTCATCTAACATATTAAGAATCACTTATGAGTATTAGTCATCAGCTAGTGAATAATTTAGCTCACAGTCTATCAATAATATTGTTATCAATGAATAGGGGTCTTTTTCTGCAGATAACTCAACATATGATAACTCCTATGATATTTCCCAAAAACGATTGTCTATTTAGGTGGATTCATAGACAGAGCTTATGCGACCATTTATATCAGAAGTTACATGTCACTTGCTCCTCAATGGTAAAGGTGAAGTTCATTCAGTGCTTTCTATCATGATTTTCGAATTTCCCTATTTACACTAAAACGCTTACGTATCTGCAGACAGCCTTTTGGAATATATTGCTTACCGTCGACCGTGTTTTTGACCGTAAAGAAAAACCACTCGCGTTTTTGTCCAAATACTTACTCCTCAATTAGAACGTTAAGGGAAATGACCATACTAGCTTATTAAGAACCGTTATGTACATATTATTGTTGTGTATTTTAATTGAAAACGTTTTATCCAACTCATTTTTATTATTTCAGCACCCAAGGATACATATAGTTTGCAATAACATGATACCAATGAAACGATATGGTTATGTAATAATTTTTCAACTTCGCAAGACTATGGAAATTTAACTTCTAATGACTTGCTAAGTACTTAAAAGAGAGGGAAAATAGTAGTTGTACTATTTAAAACGGTTATTTTTGAACAATCGTGCGATGTAGCTGAGCTTATTTATAATTTGCTGACAGTGTTGTTACTAATACTAATTTTTCTGGATCTTGATTCGTATGTACAGTTAATTTGAAAACATTGTTCATAATAACTTTTACTACTGTGTTTTTGAGGCTTTACAGTTTCTTACTGATTTAAGGCCATGGAATTTCACTTGAGTTTTACGTTCTTGTGTTTATACTATATACTTTGGCTGATTGTGTGGTTTGTGATTAGAACTAATTTCGGTGGGTCAGTGAGAATAAATGATGAGATAATCTAAAGTACTAGTTTAATGGCATATCCTATTTCTATCGCATATTGATTCGGAACGTGTTATTAAATTGTAGAATAGTATGCTTAGGTATAATACCATTGAAAAGTTGCTTTGGTTTATGGTCTCTTAGTAAGATTGTGGGTATAAAGATACTGAAGTGATGTTACGTGAGCCAAAAGGTATTTATATGAAAATATTTGTTCCGATATTTAAAACAAAACTGTTTAGATATTTTAGTAGTGAGTTGTTTTAAGCTACGAATCTCTAAATGATCTACTTAACCCTCATAAAATCAATCCGAAACTCTGGTTAAGTTTCCTCTTTTGATAAGTTTTAGTCCATGTATTGATATGTTGAATCGGTGTAAAAGACACAAAAATACGTTTGTGTCAGCTTATTATCCACTCACGTTTTTTGTTCTTAAAGAGGAGCGGAGCTAAAGAGAGATAGCTGCTGGTTGATTACTTTTTGTAAAAGCCTTCACGGTAGCGCTTTGGCATATATAAAACTAACATAAAATGTGAGAGTTATGGAGGGCTGAAAAATGACGTCAAAATTGTGGATGATACATTAGACCATGAAGAGTATCATTCACGATAAATAGCAAATTTATCTGCACAGATAGTTAGTTTTCATTTAGGCAAGTAACTGCCAATGTACGTTTATTATAAAATGCAAAACTTTAAATACATGTTTATCTATGTAGATTGAACTAATAACACTAGTTTACTTGATCATCTTGAAATGTATTAGATCCTAACTTCCCACATATATTATAAACACATATTTCTCAGTTTGGAGTTAGTTTCTCAACCGTTTTAAAGTGATTGTAAATGTTTTTAAACTCAAAATTTATTCGATGGTAGAATTAATGTTACAATGAACAAAACAGAATGGAGACCTGAAAACACGGTAGTTTGTATTGACGTTGAAAACCGTTCACGATATCCAGCAAACGAACAGCTGGGGCACAATGTTATAGTTAAAGGTATTAATAATGTTCTGCGCTTAAACCGAATTTCAATAAAAATTTAGAGTTAAAAAGCAGTACATTGAAATCCATTATTGCAACCTCACATTCATTCTCCGATGTTGGTTCAAGTCCAATTCGCAATGAATCGAAAAATTATATGTCTTCATTCAAATTAACAACTGCACAATATTTTTCTACAACTATCAGAAAACATCATAAATGTGTACAAATGGCTATGAAAAGTAAAGATATGACAAAAGCTATGCATCATATTGATCAATGCATCAAATTAGCGCCACACAATGCTAAGTTTCTTATAGAACGCTCTGGAATTTATATCAAGGTAAATTAAATTTTGTCTGGATTTTAACTTGTAAGCTACATCTCATCTACATCCTAAATAGATTGTTGTATAGTATCTTGATTGGAACTATTTTTTACTTTTTTAAATGCTTGATAGCAGTTAGCAACAGAATCTAGATGACACACTGAATACTGTCGGCTGTACAGATACGTTTTACTGATCAGTTACCACAGTACTGAAACGCTTATCTTTAATCGACTACCGGTCATTGCCTCAACATACAATTCAGATTAAAATCCTGGAAACGTTTAAGTTAGTGTTTAAAGATCTGGTGTATTCCGAGAGTGGACAACTCGATCTGAAAATCCAGCGCAAAAGAATTTAAGTTTATGAGAGATTCTGTTTGCTTTGCGAGTCTTCTAGTGAATAGTAAAATTTTTAAGGTACTCCAAGCTATCCGTTTCTGCCTCAAATCCTAGTTTTCAAAATATATGTATTATCCTAAATGATTTAGACAAGACCAATTTTTATTTGATAACATTTTAATTTATGTGAACCTTACAGTCAGAGGAGTTTGAAACCCTCTAGGATACCCAATTTTCTACTATGAATCTAACCAACAAACAATAAAATTCATCTTGCTTAATAGGTTTGTTGGCTTTTCCAAATAATTGTATAACAAGACTAATTACTGATTTACCTTTAATATGAATTCAAATTAAAGAAGCGGCTAAAATCTATAAAAATGACACTAAATTTTGATGAATTTAAAAAACATATTGTATTTATTCATTATAGTCGAATAAAAATCCAGTTTTATAACGTTTTGTAAGAGCTCACTCCACGATCATTTCAAGATCTGTTGTTTCATTCGTTCGTTAAGACAGTTTTCAAGTAGTTGTGAATAAAAGACTGAAGCGAATCCTTTCAAATCTACTTGACAATTGACGACAAAATAATTCAATGTGGTTCTTAAGTTCAGTTTAATTTATGCTCCATGAGGCATAGTGAAGTCTATAGAGGTTGACGTAACTCTTGCCTTCACAGGGAGTTTATGCCATTACTTTTTCTTCTGTAGTGATCTCCCCAATCAAATGATCCTAAAATGTAAAAGTATCCACTTTGCTTAAATGACATTCTTTCACGTAATCTGTAATAGCAATCAGCTTTTGAACCATTATTTCATCTCCAAAACGAAACACCATCATATACAATGCATTTTGAATGCTTATATTATGAGACATTCGTCGTGCAGTCTCAAGTACCTTATGTGCGTCTTACTACCCCTTAAAACTTGGGCATTAAACCTTTATCTTCGTTGATAATTGTTCCGATATAAAAACATGTAAGCTATAGTTATACTTCATTAGTCCTTCCAATATCCGCATAACAAGTTGTAGAATAAACATGGTAGAATACTACTGAACATAAAAAATAATAAAACAGTTGTTTATTTGACAGTTCTTCTTCCGAATTTGATTTAAATATTCTGACATATTGAGATTAACGCCTAAACGATAATTTGAACTGTCATTTTCCGTCAGTTTCCACATAGTATATTTCGATTTACAAGCAGCTGGTACTTATGGTCTTACGTAAAGACGTCTACATTTTAAAATAAAAGATCATGTAGAATCCAGAGGTTGTTTACAATAAATCAATTGGATAATCTATGTTACTGAAACAAACTATTATAGCATTGTTATTATCTTTTTAAGTGCATTAACTTTGTACGGCACAGAATTGAAGTCACAATTTTGGGTTTTTGATTCTGATGCCCATAAACAGGAAAATTAATTTTATTTCGCAAGAAGTGTTGTCACACAACAAATTTTGTTTTTTCCTGTGCTGTTAATTGGATTTGTTTGGCTCTCAACCAGTTAGAAGTCATCTGTGTAGGGTTTCTATGACCTTGTTAAAGCAAAACTGCTTATAGGATTGAAAATATATCAAGCTATCAGCTATCTTGATGCATTTAATGCCATATGTATTATTAAAATTGTCTAAAAACCAGCGTTTTCTGCCATTTTTGTTTTGTTTTCGCTTTCTCAATTATTCAATTTACATAAGCTATTAGCTTATCAGCATGCAATAAGCGACCTACACTTGGCCATATCTTTAGGGTCAAATACACTAGACACTATGTCAGTCAATCGAGATTTAACAAACGTTGCTTTGGAGTCACCATCTATCATGTCTGTAAGTTTGGATCGTATAGAATATGAAAATGCTTTATTGATGACTGGTCAGCTTCACATAGTTCATGGAAAGGATTTAAAAGATGAAGGAAAATTGGAAGAAGCCCTGAAACAATATGAGTTAGGCAGAAGCTTCATTGATCAATATGCTCAGATGAAAGATTTAATTACTAACTCATCTATCACACCAGGAACATTGGTAACATTGATGGGTATTTTACAAGTTTATGAATCAATGAAACGTAATGATGACTATGTGGATTTGATAACAAAATGTATAAATAATTTGGAAAGTGAAAATATGGAAATTCCAGAGGAAATACTAATGGGAGATCCTATCTTGACCTCGAGATTATATTTACCTCGTAGGTGTGTGTGTTCTAACCTTAAAATAGTATTTAACATGTAGCAGTTTCTTTATCTATGCTTACTGTATAGGATTTTAAACGTAACTTTATGCTGTTATATCCAGTACATTTCATTGTTCGCCTTATTTACTTCAGTTTTAGTCTTTGTTAATGGTATGAATTTTTAATAAAGTCTGATGTGAAATACGAACATTTTGTACACACTTAGCGAAAAGTTATTACAGTCCACTTCAACATGTAATATTGAGTGAGACAGAAGTGATTTGCAAACAAGGTAATAAACTAAGCAATGGTATCAATTCATGTAGTTCTTATTAAAAGCTATTTAGAGTAATATCAGGCTCGTGTCCATGATCTCTAGAACATTTGGGAAATTCTAGAAGTTGTGTGTTCATTTTTCAGATATCATCAATAAGAGAATTTTAATGTTCTTCCTTCCCATCTCTCTAACTGTCATGTGCTGCACTGATATGAGGTGTAGCAACGTACACCATTGAGAATTGTCTCAAAATCATCATTGTTTCGTATTGGCTAATTGATGTATACTGGTATGAAATAAATCAGGTTGGTGCATATTTATTTCATTACTTGTCTTCTTGATTCGGATCACTTCACCACTCTATACTTATTCCAAAACCCACCCCTTTATTCTTACTTATTTGAATAATTGTCTCCTTTTATACTACAGCCTGGAACAAAACAATTATCTATAGATACCTATATTAATTCGGCTTGTCCATACCTACCTCTGTTTGAAAGTTAAGAAGTATAAGCTTATGAAATATTTTCTAGAAAGTCTGAGAAATATTATCTTCATGTTGAATCGTGTAAAATCAGCAAATATAGAACCTACTTACTATTAGGTAAGCCAAGTAAATAAGGAAATTCTCCAGCTTCTCATGGTGTGATTTATTTATTCCACTTGTTATCTTTAAGAATTTCGGTCATTTACTGTTAATAATTCTGTGTGAAATGTCTTCATTTTTCCTGACACTTTAGCTCAATATTTCAAATAAATAATTGTGATAAAATTAGTTATTCACTTGGTATACTACTAATGACAAATAATTTTTTCTCCTAAAAGAGTTATCCGATCTACTATATGCACGAGCTAACCTATTATCGAAACAAAATGGTCAGTCAATAATACAAGCCTATTATGATTTGAAAAAGCATTACGTTATTGCCCAAATCATTTAGAAAGTTACAACTTATTACATCAACTTGAAACTATATCCTCCAATAAACAAGAGGAAGCTGTTGAATTAATGTTGAAAAATCGTTTCTTCGATTCATTACATTCAATCACTATAGCGATCTATGCCCAACCAGAGAATATTTCTTTATATTTTGATAAAGGAGCAATCCTAAGGAAACTTGACAGATTAACCGAGTCTTTAGATTGTATTATGCAAGGAATAAATTTATTCAATACATGGAATGATACTGATAAGAAGAACTCAGCTGATCTGTACCAATTAGGGAGAAATCAATTATTTCTTACAATGAGCTCTTATGCGATAAGACTATTAAAACAAGAGAAATACCAAGAATCAAATGCATTAACTCGTCAACTCTTGGAAGTGGATCCTAAAAATTATAGATTATTGATTTTATCTGCTGACTGTCAATATTTTCTGAATAATTATGAAAAATCACTTGAAGAATATGAAAACGCAAAGTCAATAATTAGTAAACTATTGACCGATTCTAATCATTGCATTTGTGATAACAATGTGATGAAAATTCCCGAAAGTATTAATTCAATCAATGGAAGAATCTGCTTAGCTTGTTACCAGTTAAGTAAAAGTAGAATTAAACAAAGTGACTGGTCAAAGGCAATAAATTATTTAGATCGCTGTATTCGTTTGGCGCCATTTCAATCAGAATTTTACATGACACGTGCACTAGTTCATTATCAGTCAAATCATACTGAGCATTCGTGGAATGATATATTAATTTTCGTTTATTTGAATTTAAGTGACTGGGCATTGTGTCAAAGAACAAACGGTAAATGGTCTATATATCCAATGTGGTATCAAACTATTGTACATAATCGATTCCTCAGTCAAGTTAATGAACAAATCGGTCCATTAATCCATCGTCTCACACCAAAATATATTGATTTGGTAAAAGTTGCGAATTCTAAAGAATGTGAACTGTCTTTACTAAAGAATTTACGAAGAATAATTAATGAAAACAAATGTGCTGCATGTCAGAGAGCCCGTGATGCTTCAACTACTAAAATTACCTTTCCTACTAATGGTAATCAACAGATGTTAGAAAATCCGATTGATTGGTTAAATAATCATGTGTGGTTTAATTTATTTTCAGAGCCTAGGGATAACAATGTTATTAAAATGCATTTCGTAAATTCAGATGATATTACTCAGAAAACATTCACTGATGTAGGTGAAGATGACTACAAACAAATCAATGCCAAAATTAAGGAAATTCGTCGGAAGAATTTCGCCAGACAATACATGTACACCAAATGAACTCCATTATTTTAAATGTAACAGAATACTGTGATGACCAACTTGGTTGTCATTAATTTATTATTCTTTTTGTAAGACTATCACTTTGATGTTTCTAGATTTTTGTTTATTTGTATGTCCCTTTTTGGTCTTCGTCTTATTCACGGCAAAACTAGTAGATTATTTCTCAGTTTTTAACAGTAAACTTATTTCTTAAACAATCAAATGACATCAAAGTTTTTTTGATGAGATAACTGTTGCTAAATTACAAGGTTCTAAAATTATCAATTATGACAAACTATTAAATACTTTAAATCCTGGTTTAAATAGCTGATATTTGTATGCGAGATGTACTCACAATTAACGCGTAGCCTGTGTTCCCTTCCCATGCCTTCAACCACCTAGCATCAAATAAAAAAATACTCCAACGTGGTGCAATTCGGATTGGTTGGAATACAAATCGATCGATTAGATAATAACATTGAGTATATAAATTACATTCTATATTGTACCAAAATATAATATTTAATAAAGCCATAATTACTAATAATATAAAGAAATGGGAAACAGAATCCCTATACAAAATAAGGAGGTGAATGAATATTTGAGCCTTGATGTTCTAACATTTACTTTGGTATTTGCAAGTAACTCTTAACCAGTTAAGCTAAATTGTTTCACTAGCTTTCTCCTAGAATCAACTTTCACAGGAATGTTGGTTCGATCAACTTACCTACCAAGAACATTTTAGTTGTGTCTTCTCAGCCAAAAGCAGAATTAACGACTTGTTTAATGTTTGACTTTCAAACAGTTACGACCAACGCTCTGTTAGTATTCGGAGATGAAACATGGATATCATATAATTAACTTACTTGATATTGTAGCGGCAAATAAATCCCCAAGATAAATAACTCCGTAAGTTTTCGACATTGGATGCTAACCAGATTAGTTTTAATGGACTCACCTAGCTGAAGGTGCTCGGTCATGCATCCGATTCATATTAGGTGTTACTGGCTAAAGCGTTGTCAAACTCAGAATACCTGTGGCACCTTCAATATATTATCCCGCAGCATTTAATTCATTCCACAAATTGTAGCTCATGACTTGCTGAAAGTGTCCATTTTATGGGGATCAGAGCCTGTAAGACGACGGAAAGTAAGAAAATAAGTCAAGATCTGAGAAATTGCCACAAGCGGGCGACTTAACACAATGTTGATGACTTACGATTCTCTAATGATCTGTTCGACTATTAAGAGTTCACTCACCTGCCCACTGAGTAATACTCAAGTTAAAAATAAAGAAAAATCTACTTCGAGAAAAAAATGACTGAAATCAATCAAACTTGAAGAAATGCTCCCCACAAACTTACTTGCTTAATTTCAACTCACCCTTCATGGAGCAGAATAGGCCGCCCATCAGCATTCTCAATCCAACTCAATCCAGTTGCTACTCATCCTTATAATGCCTGCTTCCAATTTTCGGTGCAACTTGTTCTTCGGCCTTCCTCTTTTAAATTTCTCTTTAGGGTTCTAAGTTAGAGGTTGCCTCGTGATGCAGCTTGATGACTTCTGCAATGTATGTTCTATCCACCTCCAACTTCTTTTTCGAATTTCCTTTTCATCTGCTGATGGTATCCGTTCAATGGACATCGAGTACATTGAGTAGATAATTGTTTCGTAAATCCTTGTACTTTTTGACATTGGTTGCAGTAGTTTTACGGCAGAACTTAAGACATTTGGCTGACTACAACTTTTATATCTTTTAATAATAATTTTACTGTGTTTTTTGGATGTATTTGTTTTACTCAACTTCCGAATTTTTGTTTATATCATTAGTTTCGGACACTTCGGTTTCTTTTGTTTTTGGTTTGGTATTTGGGAGTTTTTGCTCCGGGAACCTACAAAATTGAAGGTTTGTTTTGTAGTTATTATAATTATTGTTGTTGACATTTGGGTCAACTATTTGTAAATTGCGAATAAACTTTGGTACCTAAATTGGAGTTTGGTTCTATTGTTAACTAGGGTTCGTGTATTGCAAATAGATCGATAAACCATACTTCAATAACGGGAACGAGCAAAATGTTGGACGTAACAAGTAGTTTTTAATGATTCACCTCAGTACAGTAGAATTATCTTATTAAAGATTCTGACTTTGATGCTAGCTAACAGTTGTTTTGAGTCCTATTTATTCTTCAACTATAGGGATGCTGGCCTTACTTTGCCGATCCGTTCGTTTATATCTGTTTTGATCATCCTTGTTCATCGATGATACTGAACAGGTAAGTGAAAGTTACCACATCTTCCAGAGCTTCTTCATCAAGTAATATTGGGTCGGTTCTCCGTGTTGTATTCGAGGATCTTGTTTTGTCCCTTGTGTGTATTGAGGCTTACTGGTAGATAGGCTTCTGCTTCTGTTGTATTCCGTGATTCTTATAAGATGTAAAGGTCTTTACCATCCAATCAACCATCAGATGTATAAAAAAGCACGAGAGAGAACTCCTTGTTTGACTCCGATCCTCAATCAGGATGAGTCTGTCAGCTGTCCTCCATGCAGTGTAGTCTGTCGTGTGAATGCCGGATGATGTTGACGATTTTCTCGGGTACACCATAGTGTCTAAGAAGGTTCTGTAAACTTCTCCTATCCACACTGTCAAATCGATATGATGTTGTAGCGGTAAATAAATCCCCAAAATAAATAGCCCTGTAAGTTTTCGACATTGGATGCTCACCATATGTTTTAGTGGACTCATCTAGCTGAAGGCGCTCGGTCAGGCATCCGCACCAGATCACGTGTGGTAACGCCGTGCTCAACATCTACCACAATCGCTAGCCAGATTAGATCAGAGAATTCCGATATATTGGTAATCGCCAAATACACTCTTCCGATCTCCTCGACTCTGTCTTTTGATTTCTCTGGGTGGGAACGAATTATATTAGAAGGTGTTACTGGTAGAAGCGTTGTCAAACACTGAATACCTGTGACATCATCAATGTGTAGTAATGAGTTCCATTCAACTGATTGATCAACGATGATTCGTGGTGTTCCGATTTCGTCTGTGCAATGAAAATCGCTTACTACCGTACTTCACGAATGGTTAAGAAACATATACAGGTGCATTGCCATAAGAAAGTACTGTGACACCGCCAGAAATAGTGATTAATTTGACGTAAATAGCATAACTGTCGACTAAAATGTCATCGTTTATTATGAAGAATGTAATTGTATGAAGAGAATTCCTTTCCTCACGGGATTTGAACAGTCGAAGTATGGCTAAGTTTGGGTCCTTCTAACTTGGAGCTTTATTATCTGTAATCAAAAGGCACTTCCTTCTAAATGAATCATTTAGGAAGTACGTTTGGGATGCTCAAAAGTGCACGCAAGTCATGATATTTGTTTTAGCGATGCACCAATTTCCTCACATTGCTCCCAACAGTTTTGAAAGTATTTTTCCTTCTATTAGCGATATAAGTGACACAGCGGAGTTTCGGAGCGGTGGAGTCAAGGCAATGAGTCAAATGGAAGCATAAATCGGAAAGTTCAGTATTGTGGTGGACCAGACAAATATGAACGCAAAAAGTATAAATAAAGTTACTAAAGATAAATAGTAATATTAATATATACAGTTAATTGTTACAAATACAATAAAAATTGGGGACGTTACTTAAATTGCCCAAACGTTGCGTGTTCTGATTAGGTCCAGTAATGTAAATCCACAATTATAAATGTTTGATGACTCTGAGCAGGTTGGTGAACTCTCTAGCGATATAGTCCAACGTCGGATGTGATATATTCCGATTATAGTCTATAAATGTAGATAGTATTTGATTTAGACTTCCATTAACTCAATCACAAATGAAGATAGAACGAGGAATGCGTGAGTAGTAATGTATTTTGTTAACCAGCACTAATATGTCACGCTATGTAGTAATTCAACGGAAAGCGTGTTCAAGGTCATTTTCTAAAACAATATGTACAGTCATTTAATGATAAATGTAAATACAGTGAAAAATTGACAAACAAATACAAACACTATTAAAAACTACTTACAAAATAAGCTTGTCAGTCATATCTCCACATAGCTTCCCCCAGAGTGTCCGGAGGTAACACTGGTTGTAATAACAATAAGAAAAATTTTATACAAAAAAAAAATAATATTTACATTAATAACCAATTAACAATGTGGAGATGCGTATGACATGTACGTTAATAATATACAGTGTGTTATTGCGTGAAAATAGCGGTGATGTGGCATAGCATGACAAACAAAAGTAATGAGAATACCGTCTTTCAAAATTTTGGTTTGCTAACAATGATAATAATGTACAGAACTGTTACTGAACCCAAAAAAAATGAACTGCTTTTTTTGTGTGTGTGTGTACAACAAATGAATAATTAAATAGAGTTTACTCGTTTATTATTGTAACAAATTTTTTTTATAAAAAAAATGTGACAAAACGAATAATTGTGGGGAAAAAATATGGTTAATTATGTACACTGTAAAAAAAGAAAAAAAATCATAGATTTTGTTGGGAAAAATCGGGTGAGTATAATGGGATAGTACATCAGTAATTGTTTGTTTAGATTTTTTTTATTCGGCGAAATGTACATAGCGTTTGGGTTTTTTACAGCTCTGCCTGAGCGCGTTAAGCAAGTAGGTTTGATACTCGGTTTTTCTTCCATGTCTGCTGTAGTGGTGGTTGCTGGACGGGGTTGGTTCAGTGAAGTAGTATGTTCTTTGTCGTGCTGTGCTTCGTAGAAAGCAGGCTTTATTCTATCGATAGCAATAGTCTCTTTCTTTCCACACTTGTTGATTATGAAGTGTTTGGTCGTTCTTTTAATTACTTGATATGGTCCTTCATAAGGTTGTTTCAATGGCTTTTTAACAGCATCAACTCGAACAAAGACAAATTTGCATGTTTCTAGATTTCTGTTGAGTTGTATTCGATTGTTATGTTCACGAGGCGGTATGGCTTTGATTCGTTGCATGGTTTGCAGCAGTTGGCTAGCAAAACGACTTGGGTCCG